TTTGAGTACCTATTGCCCCAGGTTCACGATAATCCAAGCGAAACTCCTTTTATCGAGAGTATTCTTGGGTACCCCCCAAGATGTAATTAACCAAGTGGGATACGTCCCCTTGGGAGTGCTCTTAACCCCAGAACAAGCACCTACACCTGAATCTTTGGTTATGAGTAGTCTACGTAGGTATTCTTTCGCGGATATCGGTTTAAGGTGCTTTCGCCCGATCTTGTTTGGACGGACACTCTTAACCTATCCTTGCGAGGTTTACCGCACGTAGGCTCTCCACGTTTTGTGTTTTTCTCTTGTTTGTCGTTTTGTCGTATGTCCCTTTTTATTCGATTCCTCTTCTTTTTGAATCACATATATGATTTGGGAGGGAGATTTACTCGAATGGGGGAAATATACGACGATCGACAAGCTGACGACTCCTTCTAAAATAAAAGAGAGAAAAACGAACGAAAACACCAAGCTCAAAAAAATAATAATAAAAAGAAAAAGAAAACCTCAACTCGCTCAAGCCTTGCTCATTTACACTACTAATTCTACTTAATATATCGAATGAATTATTAGTATTTTAATTTTTATGTTTAAGTCTCTATTGCTTGAACCAAATGTGCATAGGTTCGACGTTCACTATTGATGAAGACTACTACCATTATCCAATGATCTTAGATCCATAGATCCTCCATTAGTCCTCAAGGATCTTCAAGTCATACATGAATCGGTTCAATGGCCACCACCAGAACTCTACAACAGTTGATACAATGTAACTAAAGCCAATAAAGGACTAATTTTTCTTCATGGAGCAATCCAAAAGACTAAAATCAAGCCTCATATGAGCAAAAGCATAAACAATTTGCGAGATCTTCGAAGCCCATTTATCCTTTGTGCAAAATTTTAGATATTTAGTTTTTTTTATTTTTTAATGTAGTAAAAATGAGAATAATCTTATTTTTATTTCAGTTAATGTCCTTATAAACAATGCTGACCGTACGAAATTGTAGATAAATTATTGACGAGCACAGCTCTGACTTCCAACCTAATGTCTCCTACTTGTCTGCTTGGAAGATTCTTCCTATTTGTGTAATTGTCCTCCCCTTTGCTCCAAATTGCGTGAATAGAATATATTTTCCCTTCTCTAAGAATAGTCCTAAACAAAATTTATTTAGCTCTGATTTTTCTTTTTTTTTGTCTTTCGTAAGCCCCCAACCTCAATTCCTCCTAGGCCCCACCAAAATCATGAACATAATTAGAGCTATGGTAAGGGCTAAAAGTGAAAAAAATGGATGTACTTTTGAAGCCCTTCCTAGGTAGGGTCCAAAGGGGGCAATTGTCACCATCTTAAATTTTGATTTGGCATTTTGCCCCTCCTGAAATATCAATTTTGCTCTACATTGTCCTAGCCCCCTCTCACGTTGAGTCTAGGGGGACAGTTCTGTCTCCACCTTGCGTGTTCTATACTTGGGTTTATGAAGAAGTTAATGAGTTTCTTTTTTTTTAAGGGGGACAGTTCCGTGTCCGCCTTACGTGTTCTATACTTGAGTTTATGAAGAAGTTAATGAGTTTCTCTTTTTAAATAATTTTACTTTTTTATGGTAGGACACATGATCAGCTTTTGTTACTTGGGTTCTTGTGTCATTTTGAGTGCTTCAATGCATTATATATATTGTCACCTAAACTTTCATATTTACAAGCATGTCACTCAGCATTAAGATCATATACAAAAGTGCTATCATTACTAATGTTTTAAGAGTGAAATACTCATTTTTATGCATAGGTTGATAAGATTGAAAAGTTATAAATGTCAATATCAAACTTTATGCCTTAGATATGTAGAAACATAAAAATTGTGTCATATGCATGCAAAATTCCTATATATACAAAAAGGAATGGCCAGAGGCTATTATACGAGCCTCCAACCACCTCTAATATGCCTAACAATTCAAGTACCACCTTCTTAAAGTCAACTGTGTCAGAGGGGATTCGAACCCCCGACCTGAAGGGTCTTATACCGTGGATGTCAATCAACAGCCTGGGATATGTCTCAAGTTGAGAGTTCGAATCCCCTCTGGCTCAGTGGGCCTTAAGGAGATAGTACTCGAATTGTTAGGCATATTAGAAGTGGTTGGAGGCTCGTATAATAGCCTCTGACCATTTTTTTAATATATATATATACATATATGTATATCATTTTTATTAAATCATTTTAGTATATTGCTTCTTTGATGGAAATTAAAATAAGATGCATTAAAATTTGACATTATTGCATCCATATATATTTTAATATTTTAGTAATTTTTGACAATTAATTACACTATTATTATATCAATTTAAAGATTCACAATTTAACTCCCAATCTACTACTGGTTGAATCTTTAAACTTTGAACCTGTTTTTTTATTCAATTAAATAAATAGTTCAATTTTCAAAACCTTGCTTGATGGGACGATAAAGGTAATGAAGTCAACCATGCATCCATTTGATATTAAACAAGCTTTATATTAGATCACCACTTACTACTCATTATATGCCCTTGAGAGTATTATCATCACCTTATCACATTTATTTCGTCTCAATCTTATCAATCCTTAGTCTATATTTGTTTTTTTTCTAAAAGATACATGAGTGTTAAAATTATGATATGTAATTCTTTTTTCACATCATTTATCCATATTAGGTCTCATATATCTCTTCTTCCCCTTTCTTCAACATTAACTTTATTCATCTTTGATATGGGTGCATTTTTTATAGCTTTGTTGTAAATGTACAAAATTTATAAAGTTTAGTTCTACTATTTTATCTTCAATAAATATTCCTTCCATCATGCCTTTCATATAAACATTTCCCAACATATAAAGACCTTATATTTTTGGCTACCAATACTTTACCCCCAAGACATTTTCATATCATCACCACCCAACTTTAGCCCTAGAAAATGTGCATCTCTTTTATATAATAAAACAAACACTTAACTCAGCTATTAGGTTAACTTAGTAGTAATATTGATTAATAACATTTTACATATCATATATCAAACTTTATTATATTGGTCAAGTCATTTATCTTCAAGTACTTCCCCGTTGTTCCAATTTTGTATTAATTTCAAATTTTAAAGTTGCATCCCTACAAAAAAAAAAAGCAAGAATATATCTTATTGAATACTATTTGTAACCTTCTTCTTATTAATTATAAAAAAAATGGTTATTTAATATTGATCATTGATGAAATCAAACCATGATAAGAGACTCTTTTAACTTCTCTAAAAACTACTAATACATAAAATTATACAAAGAACAATTATATTTTGTTCTATTTTTCTAATTTTAACTTAGACAAGAAATAATTTTATAATGCATCTCTCTTATATACAGCTAAATTAATTCTCCGAGATCAACATTATCTTCTAAGCCTATATATTATTGATTCCTCTAAAAACTTTACCTTGTCTCCAGCAAAACCATTTTTATTTCACTTTTTATTAGCAGTTGCATGCTCTCATTATACCATTTCACACTGAATCCTTTCATTAAAATCAAATTTTGAAATTTCTAAAACATCATTTTTCATATTTTTCCTTATTGTTTCATACCAACAACTCTAATTATCTTAGCTTCCATTCTAAATATTTATAAATCATATCTGTTTTCTTTATCTTAAATGACTGCTTATTAGTTTTCAGGCAAATGCACCTTTTTTTAGGGGTATTATTCCTATGCATTTACATATCTAATACCAAGCTGTTGTCTTTTATATTTACATCTCCCAACTTTTCATATCACAAAAAATATTACAAATCTAATACCAATTTTTTTTCATATCATAAAAATGGAAAATGAGTGACTCACATTGTCTTATTATGCTCAGAAGTTCGCACTCCCTGTGCCATCACAAGCACGGCAAGACCGAGATGAAGAACATTTGGTGCAATAGCTCCATTTTTTTGGAAGCCTGAAGACAGTGGAAGAGGAAATCAGGACAGAAATTTCAGAGAAATTAAAGAACTTGAGAAAAAGAGAGAGAAAATAAAAGCCTCAGTTAAATTTAATATGAATACAAACCCTGCAGTGTACCGAGTAGCCATGTTTGTTGAGGCCATTCTGGCCCTATCAGCACTTTCAGCTGATAATTTCTTCAGTATAAACCCTTCTCCATTGCACTCTGAACATACACCAGAACCACCACATTCTTCGCAGGTTTTTGTAGAGATCTGCCTGATTCAGAAAGTCAGGAGATAGAAACGGAGGACCTCACTTACCGATAAATAGTTGTTTGATGCATACCTCATTATTGCTGATTGCAGAAGTTGTTCTTCTGGCCAGAAGTGTAGCTGCTGCTGCACCCACAGCCATGGCTGCTAAAATTATTGATGGAGAATTTTCAGGCAATGCGGTTGAGACTAGGTGATTCCTTCTTCCTCGGTAGATGGAACGGAAATGCAATGAAGAACAGGAAAAATATATAATTGCATTCCCAACCTCACCGCATGAATCATTATTGGCTTCAAAACATCAAAATGAAAACATAACTAGTTTAAAAAGTTCAGAAGATAGATGAATAACATCTTCCTAAAAGATTCCCCAAAAAAACAAAAAATACAATAAAATAAAATTTAGGGAAAAAAACACCCTAAAGATTGCAGAAGTTGTTATTTTTATTAGTATTAATTGCTTTGTGGGTCTCATAGAAGAACATCTGGCTTCACTTAATTACTAAGCAATATAATTGACCTACAAAGCAAAAATTCTGGTTTGCAGCATTTCCAAGTATAGAAGCCTACCATGGAAAAGCTAACTAAAGAAAAAGTAAAGGAGTTTTTTAAGTTTTCAGAATTGCAATAAGAGATAACGGGGCCTCAGCAACCGCCAAATCATTGGAAATTGTTTAAAGATAAAAGAGAAGGGGTGAGTAGAATACTATGTTGTAAAAATTGTCATATTATGGCACCATGACTTTCTTTGTTTAAGGGTCTCAAATGGCTTTTTAATCTTTAAAAGAAAAAGGAACAGAAGAAAGTTCAGATGTGCAGAGTTGTGGGGCTCTTGCAACATGTTTAAATTCCATGCCATTGCTAGATCAGTTGGCAGAGGTTTGGTTCTTTGGTTGAGCTCCGTGCAACATAAGAGGGGTTGAAGTTGATTATTTCACTGTTGGCTCAAAAACATATGGCTAGAAAGAGACTCTAATATAGAAATAGCTTGGGTCAGAAAAAGATTGAAGTAAAAGTTTGTGCCACAGTTTTTTCTACTAGTCATAAGAAAATAAACTCATATTAACTTCATGATATCCAAACTCTCAAGCAAATAAAAAATTCTGAGATTTTTTTTTTCAGTCAAAGAGCAGGCACCATAGAAGGGAAGAAGTTGGGTTAGATGCATTCATACTTTCAACCTAAAAACTTAAGCTTTCGCATAAGAAACAACAATTTTGTATTTATATATCAAAATTCTCCTCAACTATTATGATTTACGACTATATCGAAACTTTCAAGTGTCTAGCACTTTTCCTTCTCACATGAGAGGATCTCCACATCGACCAGTCGCCCTCAAATAGAAGCTTCATTAAGTAATACGTAATCATGCACCTAGGACTTAACCCCATGGATGAATCATGGAAATCATCAGCATTTGAACCTTGAAAGAACTAACGGGAGCTACAAAATGCATGGACTCCTTGATCCAAAATGAAAAAACAACGTTGATACCACTAGTTGGGTAGTGTGAATTAAAACAGAATCACAATAAGCTAAATGCACTATTGGTTACCATTTCCGACACAAAAAAACTTACAAATTATGGTTGGATAGCCAATCACTCGGTATTTTTAAACTAACAAATTTTGCAAATATTTAATATAGAATTTGTAGTGTGAAAGCTTCCTCTTTTCTTTTTCACAATTGAAAACATATATTACATATTTATATACACTCTCAACTCTCTAGATTAAGAACAACTCTAGTATAGAAAAGACCCTGTAATTAGATCTCTTCTACTTAGGTTGCCTAATATCGAATTTCATCATGCCCAGCTTGTTACAAAAATAAGTAACCCTAGCTCCAACAAAGGCCTTCATGAAAATATCCCCTAGTTGTTTCCCAGTCTTTACATGAGCTTTAGAAATTAAATTTTGTTGAATTTTTTCATGATAAATGAAAATCTATCTCAATGTGTTTAATTCATTTATGAAAGAGAAAATTTGAGGCAACATGAATTGCAATTTAGTTATCACACCACAGTTTTGCTGAAACTATCTTAAAACCCATTTCGGTCAAGAGTTGGAGACTCACATCAATTCACTTTAAGTTTATGTCATTGCTCGATACTTATACTCAGCACTGGATCGCGGCGCTACATTCTATTTATTACTCTTCCATAAGACCAAATTATCACCAATAAAGACGCAATATCCAGTAATGGATCTTCGATCAATCTTGGAACTTAGCCAATCCGCAAAAGAAAAAAAAAATTCAATATTTTTATGCCCATGATCCTGAATATAAAATACCTTGTCCAAGAGCTCCCTTGAGGTAATAGAGTTTTTGTTCCAAAGCTAAATAATGATAGATTGTCGACTAATTGAATACACAATGTCAGGACGAGTTACTATGAGGTAGTTTAGATTTTCTACTAACTTCCTATACTTTTCGGGGTCATTAAAAAATTCTCCATCTTTAATAAGTTGTTGATTAAAATGCATCACAATACTGCATGATTTGACCCTCAATTTCTCAATTCTAGCTAACAAATCTAACACATACGTCCGTTGAGATAAAAAGATACCCTACTTGCTCCTAGATACCTCAATCCCCAAGAAGTACTTCAAGGAACCCAAATCATTAGTGTTGAACTTTTTTGAAGAAATGCTTTCAATGATAAGATTCCCTACGCATCGCTTCCATTAATATCCATTAATAATAATATAATCAATGTAAACCACCAATATAATGATTCCTGAAGCATATTGCATACAAAATACAATGTGATTGCTTCTACTTTTCTACATTTTAAGCCCTTCTACTACTTGGTTAAATTTTCCAAACCATGCTCGAGGGTTTGCTTTAATCCATATAAATATTTCTGAGGAAAACATACTTTCCCACTCCCCCTGTGCAACAAACCCAGGAGATTGCCCTATGTATACATCTTCTAAAAGATCAACATGCAGAAAAGCATTCTTCACATCCAGCTTGTGCAGGGGCCAATTACTCATTGCAGTCAAGGTTAGAAGTAGGCAAACTGAAGTCAACTTAGCAACCGGAAAGAATTTGTCCAAGTAGCAATCACATAAGTTTGCGCATAGCCCATGGCAACCAACTAAGCTTTGAGACAAGCTACAAATCCATCAGAATGAAACTTAACTGCAAAGACCCACTAACGGTCAAAAACCTTCTTTCCAAAAGATAATTCAACTAGTTCCCAAGTGTCATTTTTAGTTATGGCATTCATCTCATCAAGCATAGTTGCCCGCCACCCAGAATATTTGTTGAACATATCTTGGAACCTCAAGAGAGTCAAGAGAAGCCACAAAGGAGCGAGAAGTGGAAGATAAAATACTTATAATTAACACAAGGAAAAATGGGATAGGCACATTGACGTTTACCGTTTTGAAGATCAATGCGTAAATCAAGATCATTGGGAGGAGGATCCACTAAGAAAGATAATATCGGTGTTGAACACGAATCAGGGAGACGAGTTTTTCTTGAGTAAACATTATTGAGAGGAGGTCTAGGCTGAGGCACTAGGGGTGGAGCTAGAGTAGGATCTGAACATATGATGCAATACATTAACAACTCATTATTAACCATATCTAATCCACAAAATGAGTCGATCATACATAATAAAAGTGATGAAGATGAATGCAACGTCACGCGATCAACATGAAATGCCTCGATAGTGCTCAAAAACACCAGAAACATCATCAAATTGTGAAATTAATTGTATGAGTGCATTCATAGCGTCCAAATTGCTAAAAGAGTGGTCTTTTATGATCAAAAAGAACATGAAGAAAATAATAGATTGTCGGCAGACAAGTGCAGTTTCAACTCGACTCGTCTTGAACGTCACTAAAATTTACTCAAACAACTTTCGATCTTAAACAGATTGAGTAAGCTTGTTTGTAACATCGAATTTAACTTGGGAGAACACCCATATTGTCAGGCTTTGAAAAGTAAGCCGACGACACATAAATCATGACTTAAAATTAATAAAAAAAATAATATAAGGGCCATCAATTTCTTCTATCTAAAGCCATGTGAAGGCACCAACCAATCCCATGCCTTGCCCATGGCCATATCGCTTCTCCGTCCAATCAAAATTTACCACTCTTTTTTTTTATTAAAAAAAAGATATAGTTCTTCCTCTAACGTTCTTCCCTATCCCATAAGCTTCTTGCTTCCATTCTCTTATTTGTTCAAAGAGAAACGCCCGCAGTTTCCTCCTCCATGCTTGAACTCTCTTGCTGCTCAAACCGTAGCTCCCCACAGCTACAAGCCTCGGATCTCTGCTCCACGCAGTTCGAGCTGGTTTCTTCTCCCCATATCTCCTATACACTACAGCAAGCGTCCACTCCTATCAAAAATCCCCCACTGACATAGCTTCTTTCTCACAGACCTGCAGCTCATCATTCGATCAAACCGACTTGCTCCACCTCACACGCCTCGGCTCAGCAACCGAAAGCACTCTCCTTCATGCAGATACCCGTAGCTTGCAGCTCCTTTCAACGAACTGCAACGCTTCAGTTGCTAGCCTTGTCTCCCTGCTTGCACCTGCATGCAACCCACTTCCTCTCCATGCCCACAGGACAGCTCAACCCCCCCCTGCATCTCT